GCTGCTCCGCGGGAGAAAGATGAGGCTTTCTACTCCCGTAAAGATTTACACCCTCGGAAACCCTGTACAGGGTCGCTATGGGTCGGAACCGACTCGGTGGCACTTAACAACAACAATAACAAATGGAGAAAAAATTAAAGTTGTCAACTACTTCATTTTGCTTGGATCAGCCATCAACACTCATGGAAGCAGCAGTCAAGAAATCAAACAACTTATTGCATTCGGCAAATTTGCTGCACAAGACCCCTTTAAAATGTTCATGAGCAAAGAACACTTTAAAGAGGTCTTGTGTACCTGACCCAAACCATGGTATTTTCAGTAGCCTCACATACATGTGAAAGTTGGATAGTGAATAAAGAAGACCATAGAAGAATTGATGCATTTAAGTTATGGTGTTGGAGAAGAATATTCAAAGTCCCATGAACTGCCAGAAGAACCAACAAAATCTCTTTGGGAAGAAGTACAGTCAGAATGTTCTTTAGAAGCCAAGATAGTTACACTTTATCTCTCATACTTCATACATATTATCAGGAGGGACCAGTCAAAAAAAGAGGAAGACCCACCACAAAATGGATTGGCACAGTGGCAGTAGCAATGGACTCAAGAGTAACAACAGTTGTGAGGATGGCATAGGACCAGACAGTGTTTTGTTCATTGTGCATGGGTTGCTATGAGTCTTGACTCAACAGTATCTAACTACAACAACAGCAACAACCAGAACTGTGCTTTCTTTAGATAAAATTGAGGTAATACCTAGGGAACTTGGTACTTTAGACCCAGGTGCTGTCAAGATTGGAATGTGGTGGTGGTTTTGTTGTTAAGTGCTGTCAAGTTGGTTCTGACTCACAGCAACCCTCTATAGGGTTTCCAAGGAGCTGCTGGTGGGCTTGAACCATCGACCTTGAGATTAGCAGATTAGGTGGTTTCAAACTACAGTATTGCATAGATGCTAGGTCGTATCAGGAGTCCTGGTGTGGAGCTGTGGGTTAATGCTCAGGACTGCAAAACCATTCGAACCACAAGGTTGGCAGTTCAAGCTTACCAGCTGCTCCTCGAAAACCCTATACAGGGTGGCTATGGGTTGGAATCAACTTGACGGCACTTAACAACAACAACAACAGGTGGTATAGAGGAGTCCTGATGTGGCACTGTGGGTTAATGCGTTGGATTGCAAAGTCGGTTTGAACCACAAGTTCGGTGGTTTAGGCTCACCAGTTGGTCCTCGGAAACTGTATATTGGGTCACTATGGGAAGGAACCGACTCAAGAGCACTTAAAAACAACAACAGGCTGTATAGACTCTGTTTTTCCATGAAGACAAAGGTGTCCTTATTGTCTTTTTATACTATTACTTGTCTGTTTTTATTGTTTTTTATTCTTTTTCCTACTTCTAAAGTTTCATTACAGTAGTATTTACTTTCCCCTCACAACTCCCATGTGTTACTATGCCTCAAAAAGCTTTAATTAACCTTTCTTTTGTTCAGCTGTGTTGATCATAAGAAACTGTTGATAGCTTTATGAAGACTGGGAATTCCAGCACACTTAATTGTGCTTTATGTGGAACCTAGGAGTCCAAGTGCGGTGCTGTAGGATAAGCAGTGGACTGCAAGGTTGGTTTGAATTTCAAGGTCTGTGGTTCAAACTCACCAGTCGCACCTTGGAAACCCTATATGGGTCGCTGTAGTGTTGGTACCAACTTGAAGGCACTAATGACAACATGTAGAATCTGTACGTAGGCCAAGAGGCAGTTGTTCAGATAAAACAAGGTTTAAAATTGGAAAAAGTGTTCATCAGGACTTTCACCATACTTAATCCATCTGTATGCTGAGCAAAGGAACGTGACATCAAGGTTCGAGGATGTAATATACAGATGAAACAACTTTGTTTGCTGAAAGAGTCCTTGAAAAAGTTAACTAGTGACAATCAAAAACTGCAACCCTTAGTATGGATCACACTTGAACATAGAGGAACACACATCTTCGCAACTGGACCTATAAAGCAGCATTATAATCTATGGGAAAAAGATAGAGGTTTTCAAGGATTTCATTTTACTTGGCTCTGCAGTCAATATTCATGGACACAGCAGAAGAAAAAAATCAACCAATGTACTGCATTGGGCAAATCTGCTGCACAAGTCCTCTTTAAAGTGTTAAAATTCAAAGATGTTAATTTGAGAACTAAGGTGCAACTGACTCAAGACATGGTATTCTCAATCACACATCCTATGCATGTGAAAACTAGACAATGAATAAGGAAAACTAAAGAAGAATTGATACCTTCGAATTTTGGTGTTGGCGATGAATACAGAATTTACCACAGACTGCCATAAGAATAAACAAGTCTGTCTGGTGAGTTTGAACCACAGCCAGAGTGCCCCTTAGAACTGAAGATGGTGAGACTTCATCTCACATATTTTGGATGTGTTATTAGGAGGGATCAGTCCCTGGAAAAGGATATTCTTGGGAGAGTAGAGGGTCACCAAAAAAGAAGACCCTCAACAAGATGAAGTGACACAGTGAGTGCAGCAGTGGGCTCAAAACACTGCAGTGCTGGTGTTGCCCATCATCATGACTATGAGTCACAGTCATCTCAGTGACACCTCTAACAACAATAACTTACTCTATCAAAGGTCTTAAAGCAAGGTGGAGACACAGTGATAGGGCACCAAATGTAGATGTGGCCCAGCTTGTGCTGCCGGTATCCACGCTCATCTATTACACAGCTCCTAAAAGTTGGTTTTGATCTCTTAAGCATCACCCTTCTATTGTGAAACACCATTTGTCTTTTGGCACAAAACTTTGCAATTCTGACACTGCATCTCTGTATATTTGAAGTGTTTAGGGTAGAATATGCTAATGTTTCCCAGGATACAAAGAGCAACTTATTGGGAAGGGATAAATAATAAGTATGTGTTACTTCATTGTATGAAATTAAGCATCCGCTGTGTGCTAGGCATTCTCCCTAGCTTACCTGTCAGTAGGAATGAAACACCTACATAGATAACATGGCTCCTGTCTGTGGAGCTCTAACCTGTGCAATGCAGTGTGTTAGGCCTTTTAGGTATGTCTAATTTAATCCTTAGAGGAACCCTTGTGGAGTGGGCTCTATGGATAGTCATCACTCAAGGCAGACTTTAAGGTGAGAGCTGTCACTCCAGGTGCTGTGGAATAGAAGGTGAACTTCATTCGAATCCTTAGGCTCAGGAAAGAATGTTTAGAAGAGACGCTAGACCCTGAAATATGCATAGGGTTTTTGGGCCAAGAAAGGGGAACACAGTTGTCCAGGAAGAGGGGATAGAATGAGCAAAAGGAAAGGAACCAGGAGAAGTGTAAAGAAAGTTGAACAAAAGTTTGTATTCAGTCTTTAAGTTTAATTTTATTCACAGGAGAAATTGTTAATATAAATATCTTAGTATAAATGCAAGGAGTTCTGGTGGCATGGTGGTTAAAGTGCTGGACTGTTAACCAAGAGATTGCTGGTTTGAGCCCACCGGGTGCTCCACTGGCAAAAGATACAGCAGTCTGCTTCCATGACCGTGGCAACCTACAAAGTCCTATGAGGCAGGGTTGTTATGAGTAGGAATCTGCTCCACAGCAATGGGTTTATTAAGAATGCAAGCAATTTTTGGTAATACCTTCTCAGTCCTAGGCACAGTATTTGCTTTATGTTAGCTTATACTCAAATGGAGCTCTGGTAGCATAGTGGTTACGAATCGGGCTGTGAACGGTAAGGTCAGCAGTTCGAAACTACCAGCTGTTCCATGGGAGAAAGATGAGGCTTTCTGCTCCCGTAAAGATTTACAGCCTCGGAAACCCTGTACAGAGTCACTATGAGTCAGAACAACAACAACAACAACAATATTCAAAACAAAGAGTAAGTGAAGATAATGGTATTTCCCTTAAACAGGAAGGTTAAAATGTTAATGTAAATTCATTGGTATGAATCTAAAATTTGGAACCCTCAATCCATCTACTTTTCCTTTCCCTTAAAAGACCTTTATTATTATAATGCCAAAGGTATAAACCACTTACAAATGAATAGGATTGAAACCCTCTACCTCTTTTGTAGAAGTTTTGTCGGTAACTTGAGTTTCTTTCTTATTTCAGGTTTCCGGCATCTTGCCATGCTTGCTTGATGGTGATTGTTTTATCAGGTCCAATTCTTCATCACCAGATCTTGGGATATTATTTGAACTTGGAATTTCTTATATTCGCAATGTATGTCACTTGAGAGAAAGAGTTCTAATGTGTTATTTTAAAGGGAAGGTTTTGTTTGTTTAAAATCTGTTTTTACCAGTAAAATAATTGAAGTTTTTATGTGTAATAGAATTTTAATCCTTTCAGGAATGAGAATGGCAGCAATTCTAATTTTATAGGTAGTGCTGCTTTTCCAGTAGCATTTGTAATAAAAGGTATTTGTTAACATTTATTGCTTCAGCTACCCCCCGCCCCCGTGCTTTGAAAGAATGAAGACTAGGAAAGAATGGAGTTTGCAGAAAGTGATAAAAGTGCTCACTGACCTCTCAAAGGGTCAGAGTATATACTTAATCTTGTAACTGAGATTGTAATTAAGAAACCTGGTAGAGTGGTGAGTTTCATAAGAGGAACTCCATACACTTGGATTGACCTCTGTCCAATAAACCAGTGGGTGCAGGACTGTGGTAGTAATTAAATATGTCCACATTCTAATCATGGAGTCCTGGTGTGGTGCTGTGGATTAATGCACTAGACTGCAAAGTCGGTTTGAACTGCAAAGTCAGCAGTTCAAGCTCACCAGCTGCTCCTCAGAAACCCTATACAGGATTGCTATGAGTTGGAATCGACTTGACAGCACTTAACAACAACATTCTAGTCATAGCCTGAAAGGCATAGTGTATACATTTGGCCTCCTGGTAACTCAGAGAGCCAATAGCTCTAGACTGGTATCGCGACCTCGTTTCATTTCTTTTAGAGAAATTCATCCCTATGTTGGGACCACATTGAGGAGTAGGTTCTCCAAGTGAGCCATGCTGGCCTCTGGTAACTGATAGTGGGGTTACTGTCCCCAGCAAAGAGACCCTGATGTGTTTTAGTCTCCACATTCAATCTCAGTGAAGCAAAGCTTCATAACCCCATGTAGTGTGGGTATGGCTTGAGATCATTCCCTGAAGTATTTATATCACTCAAGAGATAATAGCAAGAGTTGCCACATCATAAGAGTTGAAGAATTTTCAAGAGAACTTTGACAAAATATGATTTCTTACTTGGCAGACTGCCTTTAAAAGCAAGTAAAATGGAGCTGTACTATGTTACATTTCATTTTCTTGTGAAGACTGCCTCTGTCTTAAAGGTTAATACTAATTTTTTTCACTTAGAGTGATATTAAGTTTCATGTACTTGTTTTATTCCCTAGTCAACTGGTGAAAGAGGAGAGTTAAGCTGTGCCTGGGCATTTCTTAAACTTTTTGATGCCAGTGGAATTCCTATCCCAACAAAGTAAGTGGCTACGTATTCCTTCCAAATGAATTATTTTGTACAAATTAATTTTTTTTTTTTTTCATTTAGATACTTCAGGTTTACAGAGTGTATGTTCAATTGGCTTTTAGGGAGAGCGCTTTTACATTTGATTTGAATGCTGTTTAAGGTAGTACATGAAAGTGGCCTGCACAGTCTCATCTGAAGGAAGAAGAAATGGCGCGTGCAGAGTGGGTATTGTGAAGTATGTTTTCACTGGCTATCTGCTGAGAATGTTCTTTCAGTATGTTCCTGTGGTTGTAACTGAACCTAATTCTATCCAACCAATGGTGAAGCTATGAATGAGGCATTTAGATGGTGGTGGTTATGTGCTGTGGAGTCAGTTCTCACTCATAGTCAGCCTGTACAGGGTTTCTGAGGCTGTCAGTCTTTACGGGAGCAGGAAGCCTCATCTTTCTTCAGTAGGTAGTACATTTAAGTCACAGTGACAGCCACTGTATACACAGCTAACATTAAAGACCAAAAAAAAAGAAAAAGCAGACTGACACCAAATATTTAAAATATATATACAGCAGTCAGATTATCATCCCTAAAAACAAAGCAAAAATTACTAAAATGATGAACACGGAGCAGAGAGACCTATTCTGGGCCTGCTAACTTTATTTTCTCCTTCTGGACTCAAGGCCTCCTCCATAAATATGCTCCGCCAGATCCTCAGTCAGGCCAAGAAACACCTAAGCTCTTTGTATTTGTTGGAGCTGAAGGAACTGGAGCAGCACTGTATGTCTTGCTTGTTTAATCCAGATGTCAATTAAGACAGAAAGAATAACCCAGAACCATAGAACAAACTGGGTCCCAGTGATCAATGCAAGTTCTACTTAGTGAATGTGAATTACAGCCCATTGAAGAAAGAAGGTCCTGACTTCTAAATGAAACATTTTCCCTTAAAGCTGCTTAGAATGAGGGTCTTTCAGAAGCCACCCATACAGTTTCCCACTTAGCCAGGATATCTTTCTTCCCTAAATGCATGAAATCATGTTGATGTATTTTGTTGGGATTTACACTGAATAATAAATACCTGAAACTTGAAAAAAAAATTAATAAGAAAAAGGCCATCTAAATTTAACAATGGGCTAAAAGAAAGAAATCTAAGTTTAAGACACGAACAAGAAATTCACAGAAGGGATACAAATGGCTATTTGTATATATCTGGCGGAGCACATCAGTAGGATGGCAGTTAAGATCCAGGTTTGGAATTATAAAAACCAGGACTCTAGATTGGGCTCCCGTATGTGTAATTGTAGTCCGATTCCTTAAATTCTTCAAACCTCAGTTTCCCCCATCTTTGAAATAATTCTGACCCCAAATATTTGTTGTGAGGATGAATTTAGATAATGCTTCCCCTGGTAGCCTGTACTAAACCACTTTGTTATCACTGGGCAGTAGTAAAAGCTCTGATGCCACTGGTCCTCCCTGATACCATTCCAGTGAGGAGGAAGGAGCCCCTCAGTACTGGGGGTAAGGGGTGGTGGTGGCCTGTAGAAGTCCAGGCTTCCCAATGGCTGCTTTTTTGGTTTTGGTTTATAATGTTCCGAGGTTTTAGCTGTACTTAAGCATATCCACTTGTTGGGTTGATTCCAGTTCAAAGTGACCCTGTAGGATAGAGTAGGAACCCCCACCCCAGTAAGGTGAATCTGTACAGAAGCAAATTACCACACCTTTCTCCTGCAGAATGGCTACTGGGTCCACACTGCTAGCAGTCCACTGCTTACCCCATTGTACCATCAGGGTGTAGTGCTATAGGGTAAGTGCTGGACTGCTAACTCCATGACCAGAGATTCAGACTCATCAGCCATCCCTTGGAAATGTTATACTGGGTCACTGAGTTGGAACCAACTCAACAGCACTTAACAACAAACAACAACATGAAGGGGAAATAAGGAAAAGTATGTCTACTTCATCTTTCTAAAAATAGAAGTCATAACTCTTTGTTTTAATGATATAGAGATCTATGTGTTTGTATAGAAAGATCTCTAATGTATATTATATATGAAAAAAAACCAAATTGCAGAATAGTGTGTACAGTATGAAGTCAAACATTTTTATGATCAATTTTCTCATTATCTGTGGAACAACCTAATTTCTACAGTTTACAGAAAGCATGTTGCTGTTGAGTGTGTCAAGTCGGCATAGTAAATATTTCTTTACTGAGATGCTAACCCCAGGAGAGATCGACAACTATTATTCTCATTTACCAATGAGACACAAATGTCTGTAAATGTATATGTGCTAGCAAATATTTTCCTACTGATTCCAGTGTATGCATCTGTCATAGTGTGTCCCTCTTCTATAGGACTTATGAGCTCTTCCTGAATGGTGGCACCCCTTATGAAAAAGGTGTTGAAGTGGATCCTTCAGTATCCAGAAGAGGTACTTCTCTTATGTGTGGCCTTCCTTTCCTTAAAGATTAAACAAGTAATCTTCCAAGAAAGTAAGGAGCTTTGGTGGCACTGTAGAATAAGGTTGGAATTTCAAACCCATCAGGGAGAAAAGGTTTACCTAAAGATTTACTGCCCCGAAGCCCTATACAGGGTCTGTAGTTGAGACCACCTCCACGGCAGTGGATTGGGTTTGGGTTCTCAGAGAGAGGAACTTGATTTCAATATGCACAATATTCTTCACTTGAATTCAGATTTTTAAATGTCATTTAATATTAAGATCTTACTCATTTTTATCTGTGCACTTGTTTTCTTGGTAGCACAGATGAGACTATAATGTAGGCAATCATAAAGAATGAGGACCCTCTGTTGCCTCCTCTTCATCAAACATGGGACTGATACTCATGAATGAACCACAGAACAAATAAAATGGGCAAATTCAGCAATTGCCTGTTGCTGGGTCAAGGGTGTGTTGTTGTTGTTGTTAAGTGCCGTAGAATTAATTCCGACCCATAGCGACCCTGTATAGGGCTTCCAAGAGCAGCTGGTGAGCTTGAACTACTGACATTGCAGTTCGAATGACTTTGCAGTCTGACACATTAGCCCATAATGCTACACCAGGACTCTGGGTCAAGGGTGTAGACACTTGAAATTAAGATATACTTACCAAGTTGTCCTCTAAAAACATTGAGTGCCTTTTAATACGTTCATTGACCAAGCACTGTGCTGCTGTTGTTGTTAAATGCCATTGAGTCAGTCACGACACATAGCGACCCTGTACAGGGTTTCCAAGGCTGAAAATCTTTACGGGAGCAGAAAGCCTCACTCATCTTTCTCCCGCGGAACAGCTGGTAGTTTCGAACTGCTGACCTTGTGGTTTACAGCCCAGTTCATAACCACTACGCTAACAGAGCTCCTGTGCTGCTAGACAGTCAAAAAAGTGAAGGATAAAACAGATGCAGTCCTTGCTTCGGGCAGCACAAGGCTTGGCAGACTTGTAACTCCCTGCTCTTCTCAGACGTCCACCTTTATTTCATGATTTAGGATGCACACCACTGCTGCTGTCCCACAGGGCCAGTGCAGGTCCAGACAGGCCTTTAAGAACACTCTCTTTGACTTTTCTTTATAATCTGGCAACAGTGAGACTGCCAAAGCATCTGATGCAGGGGTGAAAAGGGGGAAGTGAATAGGCATTAATATCTCATTGTAATTTGTATTCACTTCATTTTGGAGGTGTGGGTGACTCCTGCCTTTCATACAACTCAGCACCCCTGTTTGGTATATTTTGATAAAATATTTTGGTTTATTATATTCACCATCTTGAGTTTTGTATGTGTGTTTTTAAGCACATGGCAGTGTTTTCCATCAGATGCTGACAATGAGAAGGCAGCCTCAACTTCTAGTAAAGCTGAGATCTTTGAGCAGAAGGTCAAGAACTATCCTAAGGTTGGTACCTGCCTTGTGTGGCCAGTGAACTCTGAATCACTCAGCTTTTTAGACCATCTCCACTGTTGGGTTTTCCTCTTGCTTGGTCATCTGTCATCAGTAATCTTTGTCTTCATAGATTCCTTGGTCAAAGATCAGTAGGGAAATAGAATATGATGAAGCTTTAGATTACCATATCTTGTGCCCCTTTCTAGTCAACTCCCCGTCTCTAGTCTTAGACAATCACAGGTCTGTTAGCATTTTCTTCCCAGAAATTTTGCCTTTTGAGTCCTGTTTCTTTCACTTAGCATAATGCATTTAAGATTCATCTATGTTCTTGCATGTATTAGTACTTTGTTCCATTTTAGGTATGGAGTAGCCCATTGGATGGGTAGACCACAATTTATCCATTCACTAGTTTATGGGTATTTGTGTTGTTTTCTAGTTTGGGACTCTTTGAATAAAGTTGCTCTAAGTATTTGAAATCTTTCAAGAAAGTGAGCGGCACAAAAGGCAATCACTAATTTCTGCCAAGAAATTTGAAAGACAACTATCTGGCCAACTGATTGGAAGATATCCATATTTGTGCCTATTCCAAACAGAGGTGACCCAACGGAAATGTGAAATCGTCGGACAATCTCTTTGATATCTCAAGTCAGTAAAGTTTTGCTAAAGGTAATACAGAAACGGCTACAATCATACATTGACAGAGAACTTCCAGAGGTTAAAGCTGGATTCAGAAGAGGCTGTGGAATGAGAGATATCATTGCTGATGTCCGATGGATCTTGGCTGAAAGCAGAGAATATCAGAAAGATGTTTACCTATGCTTTATTGACTACACAAAGGCTTTCGATTGTGTGGATCATTACAAGCTATGGACAACATTGCGAAATATGAGTATTCCAGAACGCTTAATTGTACTTCTGAGACATCTGTACCTGGACCAAGAAGCAGTTGTTCGAACAGAGCATGGGAACACTGAATGTTTTAAAATTGGGAAAGGTGTGCGACAAAGTTGTGTTCTTTCACCATACTTATTCAACCTGTATGCTGAGCAAATAATACGAGAAGCTGGGTTCTATGAAGAAAAACGTGGCATCAGGATTGGAGGAAGACTCATTAACAACCTGTAATATGCAGATGATACAACCTTACTTGCTGAAAGTGAAGAGGACTTGAAACATTTACTGATAAAGATCAAAGAGCACAGCCTTCAGTATGGATTGTATCTCAATGTCAAGAAAACAAAAATCCTCACCACTGGACCAATAAACATTCTTATCAATGAAGAAAAGATTGAAGTTGTCAAGGACTTCATTCTTCTTGGATCAACTATCAACATTTGCAGAAGCAGCAGTCAAGAGATCAGACAGCATATTGCATTAGGCAAATTTGCTGCACAGGAACTTTTTAAAGTGTTGAAGAGCAAAGATGTCAGTTTGAGGACTAAGGTGCGCCTGACCCATGCCATGGTATTTTCAATAATCTCATATGGATGCGAAAGCTGGACAGTGAATAAGGAAGATCGTAGAAGAATTGATGCCTTTGAATTGTGGTGTTGGAGGAGAATACTAAAAGTGCCATGGGCTGCCAAAAGAACCAATAGATCTGTTTTGGAAGAAGTGCAGCCAGAGGGCTCCTTGGAGGCCAAGGTGGCTAAACTTCATCTCTTATACTTTGGACGTAATTGTCAGGTGGGAACAGTCGTTGGAGAAGGATATCATGCTTGGTAAGATGGAGGGTCGGAGAAAAAGATCAAGACCTCCAATGAGATGGATTGGCCAGGTGGCATCATCAATGGACTCAAGTGTGGCAGCGGTAGTGAGGTTGGCCTGGGATTGGACATTGTTTCGTTCTGCTGTACATGGGGTCACTATGAGTCGGTACCAACTCGATCACACTTGACAACAACAACAAGTATTTGCCTACAGGTCTTTTTATATGGACATTTGTCTTCATTTTCCTTGGTCATAAATACCTAGAGAGGGATTCCTGGATCATATGGTATTTAACTTTATAATAAATTGCTAAAATATTTTCTAAAATGATTGTATCATCTTGCACTCCCATCAGCAATGTATGAGAGTTCCATTCATTCTATGTCCTTGATAGCGTTTGACATTTTTCTGTTTTAGCTATTCTAGTAAGTGAATCGTGGGATCTCCTGGTGGTTCTAATTTGCATTTGCCTTAGGGAGTTTCATACTGCTAGTGTCCCATGTCCATCCATTTCTAACTGAGACCATGGACGTGGTCTTTAACCACCTCTCTAGAGGTCCCTGAGTCTGTACCTGTACATTGGGTATAATAATAATGGTTGTTGTTGTTAAAGTGCCGTCGAGTCGATTCCAACTCATAGTACTCTATATAGAGATTCCAAGGAGCGGCTGGTGGGACCTTGTGGTTTGAAGTCCAGTGCCGATCTGACAGCACCACACCAGGAGTCCAGAGTAGTAGTATCAGCTCCATAGAACTATAAAAAATAGTTTAGATAAAAAGAAAGCATAGCAAGCATTTAGTATTTATAGTGCTGGCCACACAGTAGGCCACAGTAGGTGTTAGTTTTGATTATTTATTGTTCTATGATGTTTCGATAAGCGAGGAAACCTGGTGACACAGTAGTGAAACATTTAGCTGCTAACCAAAAGGTCAGCAGTTTGAACCCACCAGCTGCTCTATGGGAGGAAGATGTGGCAGTGTACTCCATACAGATCTTAGAGCCTTAGAAACGCTGTGCTGCAGATTTACCCCATCCTACTCAACGGCACTTAACAACAACAAGGCTGCTATGAGCTGGAATTGACTTGACACTCATGGGTTTGGTTATGGGTTATAGAGAAATTTAAATTTAATCCCAGGTAGATTGGCTATTTGTCATGAAATCTATTCAAGCAGAGATGTACTCTGTATCTGGTAAGATCAAGAGACATTTGAAATAGGCTTTGACAGATAGAAGGGAGGTGCCCCTGAATAGAGGTGTGGGAAAATCATGAGTATGGGAACAAAGAAGGACGCAGTTGGACTGTCCTGCGATGAACTGCTCATTGTTTGTAGATAATCAAGAGGTAAGAATATTAATGGAGACTTGGCCTACCCCTCTGAATGGTTGCCTTTCTCATTCTAGAATGTTCTTATCTCTAATACTGAAATGTGTTTTGTAATTAGAATGTGAACAGTTAAATCTTTCAATAACCATTAATAATGTGTTCATTGGTATTATTCATTCCCTATGGGTTTTTTTCCCTCTAGATACTTATAAATTCTTAATTTTGGCTAACCTTTCCTTGGAAAATTGTTGGTTTTTTAAGATGAACAAAAAGCATAGTAAGTCTTTGTGAACGAAAAGCCAAAATCCTGTTTGGCTTCATTCTTCCTACTTCTTCAGCCTTCCAACTTCTCAGCTAGTTGGTCAGCCTCCAAGAAGCGCCAAGCACTCCCAAGCATGTCTTTCAAGTGCAGCTCTGAATAGAGTTTCTTTGGCCCCAAATATAATTTTTGAGATACTTTTTATGATTAAGAGATCACATTTGGGTAGGGCAGATGTCAGGAGGGCAGTCTCTTTTTTTTTTTTAAAGCTTTCATTTATGAATTGAGTGATAGTTTACATGGGAGAATCAGTTTTTTTTTTTAATGTTTTATTATGATTTATGTGATAGTTTACATGGGAGAACATCAGTTTTACATTCATCCTATCGTATATTGTTTCATTTCCATGGTTACAATCCCCTCCATGTATCATCAACCAACCAAAGGGTATACCCTGCAAGCCAACCCCTAGTCTTCAGCACACAGCCCCTCTCCCTCTCTGGGTCTAAAGTCCCCAACTGCTCCATCTCTCCATGTCATCGTCTCTGCTTCCATCTCAGGCATCACTGCTTCTTTGGGTAGGGTCCCACTCTCCGCTCTTCTCCCTTGATGGTCCCAGGGACCTCTGCTCCTAGACTGGAAAGTTAGTCACTCCTTCCTTGCTACAAAATGTCCACCTTTACATTTCCAACCCTCACAATCAGTCCTGATAACAATTATTCACTATTGTATCACAAGAGACATATCCACATTTAATTTCATCAGCCCCATTTAGACAGATTGGATACTACTCACTGGAGATTCTACCTTCCTTCATGCCCTCTGGATCTAGGTTCCCTCTTGAAAGCTTGTAAGCCAGTCACTTCTTCTTGCCTTTGTAGCCCCCCATTTTGGGTAGCCAGTGTCCAAGTTGCCCATCCCTGTCTACTCTGTGTATGGAGGGGGTGGGAATGATCTTCACTGTAAGGATTTGTTCCCTCTTTTGAGCTACTGCATTCATAGGTGTAGATCGAGAATATCAGTTTTGCATTCATCATTTCATTTAGCTTCATTGCAATGATTACAATCCCCTCCATGCATCACCATTCAACAGTATTTGTTTCTATTCCCTGTTTTTGGTGTTTTGGGTTTTTTTATGTACACAAAAACACTCAGGATTATATAGTCATTTATATAACCAAAGGGCTCATTCTGCAAGTCTGCCTCCTGGCCTATCTCTTCCCTGAGTCTAGAGTCCTCAGCTGCTCCGTCTCTCCATGTCCTCATCTCTGCCTCCATCTCTGGTGTCGCTGGTCCCATATTCCACTCATACCCCTTTCCCTTGATAGTCCTAGGGTCCTCTGTTCCTGGACTGTAAGGTTAACCATTCCCCACTTTAAGCTACAAGGAAGGCACATTCTTATCGAAACAGTGAATGGTCTCCTGTATGGTGAATTCTTACAGAAGAGTACCGAGTCCTTGGCCTCAAGCCCTCAGGAACTGAGACACGTGATTGATTATAGCACAAAGTAGGATCTAAAAAGTGGCTGTTAGATATTTTCAAAGTAAAGATCTTCCTGCTAATGTCAACAGTTGACTTCTCCCAAGCTCTGCTTTACCTCCGCTGGCCCCAGCCTCTCCCTGGCTTGCCTTGGTGTGTGCTCTTTTTCTTCCCAGAGAGACTTGAGCACTGTCTTGAAGTTGCTGCTCCACTCAGCATGATCCTGAAATCTGCACTGCTGGGAGCGTCGAATGAGGTGGGGGTACCCTGTGAGTGCAGTCCCAAACACAGGCTGGGCTCTTGCAGGAACCAGGCACTGGGCACAAGGAAGCCATGGAGCCAGGAGCCTTACCACAGGGCCAGGTGTAAGGGCTGCGTGGGGAGTGCAAGGTGAGAGGCTGGATACCAGCATAGGCACTCCTCCCCTCACCCACCATCTTCAGTAAATGGGAGAAGTCGGTGGTGGCACCAACAGCTGTCTTCCTCCTAATCTTCACAGGTACACCCTCCTCCCCTCCCTTTCTCAAGAACTTTACTTTCATTTTGTCAAACTCAGGGGAAAGGACAAGAGCTCTTTTCTGTTTATGCCAAGGGACATACAACAGTGAGGATAGACTGCAAAAGTGGGACACCAAACCATGGCACTGTACTTCTCCTCTAGGTTCAAGGATTCATTGTAATGGACATACAAAACTCAGAGATAGTGCCCACAGTTAGCAGGTTTACTAGGGAAGTGAACAAGTTACAATTCAGGGCAGAAATGCTCAGGGCAACCTCTCCTCAGCCGGGCCCTCACGCAAGCCTCCCTCTTCTGCCTGTGCATGTTACAGAGCTCTTTTAGGGCTGCTGATCATTGTCTACAGGACACACCACACGTCTCAGCCTGAAGGCACTCAGCTCTTGCTCCATGGGACAGCAAACCTGCCTCCCCAACTAAATGCCTAGAGGCCCCCTCCTCTGCAGGCAAGCCTCCTGCCCAAAGTCACTCAGCTCGCCTTGCTTCATGGGCTGGGAGGCCCATCGCTGTATCTAATGTTCTGATTCTTGATTCTGCTGCTAATAGTCCCCTGACACTCCTCCAGTGTCGTAGCTTGCTGTCCCTGAGTCAAGGAAGTTCAGTGCTCAGGAATCTCGGGGTTCAAAGGACGCACTATCCTCCTGGCTCTTCTTTGTATGATCGTAGTGAGATCCCTTCTCTGTTTTATAGCCAGGTTAGAATTCCAGACTTTTACAGTCACAGACTGAATCTTATCATCCTATCAGTATTTTCTCCTAACTTTGCTTTCCCAGACCCATCAGGAAAAGAGATGTTAGGTGGGAATTACAAGACTAAGGTTGGAAGAGACATATTAAATAATTGACTGCACCGCTCAGGCCAAGGGAGGAAGCCCAGTGCGAATTAGCAGTAGTGCCGCTTTTACCCATTACTCTTACCAGTTGGCTGCCTTCTCACCCAGCCAGCAGCTTTCTTTACGTGTGCGTATCCTCTGGGTGTCAGGAGCTCCTCCAGAAATGTGCAAATGAAGCAGTGCTGACCTGCTCTGAAGAAACAGCACCAAGTCCTGCCAGTGGGACTCAGCAGTGTTGGTTTGGGGGGTTTGTTATCTTGGCGATCCTCTGAGCATGAGAAAAAAGAGGGAGCAAATAGATAATTCAGTTTCACCAAGACTTGCCTTTCTAAATTTGGAACTGTTTTCCAGAGGGGTTTAGCTCAATATGATTTGACCAAAGGCATGCTTTTAGCCTGACTTCAGACTCCCTGACTCATAGCATATTAGTTGTGAATGCCAAGAAACATTGGTCTGTAACTCTCTTTTCCTTTTCCTTTTTGATATACTCCATCTTTTTTCTTTTACTTCCATTAAATTATTGCTAAAAATAGTAAGTTATTTGCATAAAACCCATTCATCAGTTTTATTGCATTTCTATATAGGTGGCTAGAAAGCCCTTGTTAGGTTAATCTTTTTTTTTTTTTTTTTAATAACCACTGACCTTGTGGTTCATACCAACCCTGCGGTCCAGTGCTTGCCCTACAATGCCACATCAGGACTCTTGTTTGATAGAGGAAATTATTTGTAAGGTTTTTGAGATTTCCCATAGGGCCATTCTTCATGTTAAGTGACAGAATTCAAGTACAAAGGGACTTCAGAAAGTTTGTGGAAAAATGGAATTAAGAGATAATGGAATTTTTCCATGAACTTTTTGAAGCCCCCTTGTTTTCTACAGATAACGTTTAGAAAATGCATATTTACAATAGTTCGAGACATTTTCTTTAGTGTCTTCTAAGGTAGGCTCTTGTGCTCAAAATATTCCTAGTAAATCTTTTGAATGTCTCCTATGTAAAGCATTCACTTTTCATGTTTTGAAATTACCATTTTTGAAATCTCAATACTAGGGGGCTTCAAAAAATTCTTGGAAAAATGGAATTAAAATATGATGAAAATTTTCCATGAACTTTTTTTGAAAATCCCTTGTTGATTTTTGAAAATCTCTTTGTTGTTGCTGCTGCTGCTTTTGTTCCCTTGTTATGTACCAAGCACTGACTGCGGTAAGCATGCCACACTTGAATCCTCATGGTAGCCTTCTGAAATGCAGATGTTGCTACCCAAATTCTACAAATGAATGAATCCAAAATCACATAGCCAGGAAGTGGCCTTCCACACCCTTCCATGGCCCACAGAGTGCTGTGAACACTCTGAACCCAATAGCCCCACATCTGGCAGGCAGCCGCTTGCCTTTGTTTGAGCTCACAGCTGACTGTCACATTCTTTCCAAAACACATAACTAATGATTCTGCTCTTTTACTTGGCCTTTAGCTCAGGGGTTGCATACTAAAATGTAAACACAAGAATGTCAACCTTATGTTGACACTTCAAGGTGCATATAGAACACAATAAGTTATCTGAAGCTTAATGTGGCCAACTTGTCATGAAAATTTTCCTTTAAATTTGTTTAAAAGAAACATTTCCAGTGATGAAGCAAAACTTGAAACTGTTTATTAAAGTAATGCATAGAAATGGAAAGAAAGAAAAAACCACCATAGGGTGGACTGTAAGGATTTTGAATTAATAAATTTTTTAGCAGAACGTGGAGCTGTTTATTAAAGTAATAAGTCTGAATATAAGGATTTTGAATGAATGTATACTTTTCTTCTCTCATAGCCAACTGCCAGAAACATTAGTTGGAAGTATGTGCTGCATTCACTTGCTGGTGTTTTATCGCCAAATCCTTGGAGATGTGCTTCTGAAAGATAGGGCAAGCTTGCCAAGTGCTGGTAAGGGATCTTTGATATTTCCTATATGTGGTGCCACCTCATGCTTTCAATAAAGGTAACCTCAAACCAAAAACCAAACCAACTGTCATCGAGCAATTCTGAAGGTGAATTTTGGAGAAAAATATTTAGAATAGCACTGCCATCCATGAATTATTTGCAAGCACCTTCTTATGCCAAGCAGTGTGCTCAGTCTGTATCCCAGGTCAGCTCAGTGGATACGAATTCAGTTCTCTAAAATATATGTATTTTTATATTTCACATTTCATACTCTTATGGTTTCAGATCCTGAAACTCAAATATCATCAGATTTTCCATACTACCTGAACTGTCTGATGTGCTTTTCCCATGTGTTTTATGTGCACATCATCTTGCTGGGAACAGAATGAAATCACTCACAATAGCTATATTTTTAGTCCACAAAGCCTAAATGTCAGTGGATTCGTTTAAAATGTGAGAATCTGGATAAGAGGTATTTGGTGCTTTATGAATGATTTTTATTTTTGCAGTTGTTTTTGAAGTTCGAGGGATTTTTTTTCCCTCAAGATTGGGTTTTTTAAAAAAAATTATATCCATTTTAAAAGCAGAATATATGTATTATAAGAATTGTCTCTGTAAAAAATATATGAAGGAGCTTCACAGAGTTCATAGAAAAATTTCACTATCTTTTAATTGCATTTTCCCCACGAACTTTATATAATTTTTATTTGCTATTCTTGGGATTCAGTAAATCAGTAAACAAATATGTATGTACTGAGCACCTAATATGTGCCAGGCACTGAGCTAGAACCAGTGGTAACTGGGACACACACAGTCTCAAGTCTCATGGCTCAACAAACCTTAAACATGAAACTACATGAATAATTCTTTTCAACCTTTTAAAATAAGTATTATGGAGGAAAATCTCAACAAGAGCATAAACCAGAAAAACCTAAATTATGTCAGGGAAGGTCTCCTTGAGCAAGCACTCACTATTCCAACAATAAGACCTAAGTAAGAGATGAGTTAGAGATAGGCAGGTGGGGTGCTAATGAGAGGAGAGAGGAGGAAGGGGTGGAGGACACTTTCTCGATAAGGAATCAGAATGTGTGAAGGCCTAAGGCATGAAAATATAGACAGAATTAAGGCACTAGGATTGAAAGAAGGTCAATATGGATGAAACAATGGTTGTGTAGTTTTAGTACCCTTAGACAAGCAGAAGGTGCTCAGGTAGTGTAGTGGTTACGAATCAGGCTGCTAACCTCAGGGTCAGCAGTTCAAAACCATCAGCTGTTCCTCAGGAGAAAGATGAGGCTTTCTGCTCCTGTAAAGATTTACAGCCTCGGAAACTCTGTGTAGGGTCACTATGAGTCGGAACTGACTCCACGGCACATAACAACAACAGACAAGCAGAGCTGTAATTCCCTCCCAGGGAATTACCGCCTAGTTGTTGTTGCTGTTAAGTGCCCTTGAGTCAATTCCAATTCATAGTGACCCTATCTATGTACAACAGATAAACGGACAAAAATGGAATTCAAAATCAGAGAAGCATAGAAATTCCTTAAGGAATGGTTTGTAACTTTAAGTGATGGGAGGGGCAAAGACAATAAAACCTTTTAACCATTACTTACCTTTGAATATGGAGGCCTAGTGTGGCACTGTAGGATAAGCACTGGACTTATTCAAGGTCAGCAGTTCAAACCCACCAGCTGCTCCTTGGAAACCCTAAAAGGGTCATTATGAGCCGAATACCCTATATAGAGTCGCTGTGAATTAGAACTGACTCGACAGTATTTGACAAGCCTTTGAATATATTTTGATGCTTCTTGGAACACTTCATGAATGATGTGACTTCTTAAAAGAGATAAGGCTTGCCAGTTTTTCCCACAGGCAGGGAGAAACTCAGAATTGTTGATGTCATCTGGATTCAGCCTTCAGAGTGATGAGATCTGGAGGAAGGATTTTCCTCTACTGAGGATGCAAGGTTATAGAATATACTATCCTTGCCATTTCATGAGCTCTTCCTTGTACTCAAATTTAGCCATGTAACCAGAATCCCCAACTCCTGACCCCTTACAGTTTTATCCACCACCTTCCTTCAGCCCAGACACCAGCCCAGTGTCCTCCCTGGGCACCACACTTAAGGCTGAGACGAGCCAGGCCTGAGCAGCCTTCCTGGTGCCTCCTTGTCCCTGACTCCACTTCCTGCTCAGTCTTGCAAGAGCAAGGAGTCTCATAATTGGAAGACGGCATTGGCTGCACCCCAATCGTAAGGAGGAAAGATGTTAAAAACTATAGAAAGAACAGTATTTTCTGATCGTCTTCTGTCAATAGGCACTCACCTCTCATCCTAAAAGCTCCATCTTTTTATTTAAGACTCACTCATTTCAGAACTTCTTAAAATAGTTCAGGGTAGATGGAGGCTGGGGGACAGGGGACAGCTTTAAGCTCTCTTAGAAGTTAAAGGTTTCCGAGTCATAGTGACCCTGCACAGGGTTGCTGAGGCTGTAAATCTTTATAGGAGCAGAAAGCCTCATCTTTCTTCAACGGAACAGCTGGTAGTTTTGAACTGCAGATCTTGAAGTTAGCAGCCCAACTGGTAACCACTAAGCTCCCAGAGCTCTTTAGTCTTTGGGTACAATCATTTTAATGTGAATGAATGCTCATTATTATCTATTGCAGTAGAATACATTCAATGACGTTTTCATGAAGTCCTTTCTATTCTTTTGTATTTCAGATTTAATTAGTAATCCAGTACTGGCCACCTTCCCCAAGATCTTGGACCAGCCTGATATTATGGATGCTCTCAGGGTGGGTAACATGCCTCATGATGTGAACTTGCCGGGTTCTGAAGGAATGTAAATAGCCGCGTCCCTAGGTGTTTTTCAGCTGTCTAGGTTGTTTTTCCTAGTTGGATGATGCCTTCCAGTCCCTGTGCCCGTTGTCTCCCTAACTCAGTCTCATCCTTCTAATCTTAGTATATGGGCTACTACTCCAGGATGCCCTCCCTGGCCTGATAAACAGATCGTTGTTGTTGTTGTTGTTGTTGTTGTTGTTGTTGGCTGCCATGGGAACGAAGCTCTGTTTGTGCCTGCGCCACCCCCATGGGGGGTTGCATTCGACTGTTGTGCTGTTAGGATTGTCACTGGCTGATTTTTGCAAGCAGATTGCCAGCCTCTCTTCCTAGTCCATCTCAGCCTGGATGCTCTGTGAAACCTGTTCAGCACCGTAGCAGCATGCAAGCCCCAGTGACAGACAGCTGTATACACCCATGCAATCTCTTGTCTGTTGCTTGTGCCTTGACTGAGGCTGGCTGCTGGTTTTGTCCTAAAAGAAAAAGTCCAAAATGATTTGTTAGAGAAATCAATTGAGTTTCCAAGGGAGAGTCAGGGCAAGCACAGCATTTGTAACTTCACTCCACATTACTGTCCGCTAGGTGGATTGACACAGTGATGGCAGCAGTGGGTGGAAACAAAACAGTTGTGAGGATGGAGCAGGGCTTGGCAGTATTTCTCTCCGTTGTGCATAGGGTTGCTATGAGTTGGAACCAAGTCAATGGCACCTAACAACAGCTGGAATAGCAGCTGGATATAAGATTAAATCATGGTTCAGACCCACCAGCCACTCCTTGGAAACCCTATACAGGGTCTCTATGAGTCAGAACTGACTCGATGACACTTAACAACAAAACAATTAGATTAAATCATATGAAATCTCCAGTTTTCATCCATTTGGATCTTCAAAAATGAACCCTCATATGGTTGAACCTAATGCATTAGGGTCAACAAATTATTAGAGACCTATATGCTTACACCAGGTCTCCTGGTGTGGCACTGTGGGTTAATGGGCCCGACTGCAAAGTTGCTTGAACTGTAAGGTCAGAGGTTCAAGCTCACCAGTTGCTCCTTGGAAACCCTACACAGGGTCGCTATGGGTTGTAACTAACTTGATGGCACTTCACAATAACAACATATTCTTACAAGACCATACACAAATAATAAGACTCGTGCCATATTGTTGTTGTTTTTAAAGTGCTGTTGAATCAGTTCCAACTCCGTAGCGACCCTGTATCAGGTTTCCAAGAAGTGGCTGATGAGTTTGAACTGCCGACCTTGTGGTTCAAATTGACCTTGAGGTTCAGTGCTTTATCCCATAACACCACACCAGGACTCTATTTGTTGTTGTTGTTAAGTGCCATCAAGTCAGTTCCGACCCATAGTGAGGAGAAACTGGTGAAGTTTGAACCTCCGGTCTTGCAGCTCAAGCCGACTTTGCAATTCAGTGCATTAACCAACAGTGCCACACCAGGACTCCATGTTGTTGTTGTTTTGTGCTCTGGAGTCGATTCTGACTCATAGCAACCCTGTACAGGGTTTCCAAGGCTGTAAATCTTTACAGGAGCAGAAAGCTTCATCTATCTCCCACGGAACAGCTGGTAGTTTTGAACTGCTGACCATGAGATGAGCAGCCTGATTCATAACCACTATACTACCAGAGCTCCTTTGGACTCTATTTGTTGTTGTTAAGTGCTATTGAGTCAATTCCGACCCATAGTGTCCCTGTATAGTGTCCCTGTATAGGGTTTCTAAGGAGCAGCTGGTGAACTTGAACCACCAATCTTGCAGTTCAAACGACTTTGCAGTCTGACGCATTAGCCCACAGCGCCACACCAGGACTCCATAGGAGAGGTATAATCCAGGTCCTTGGAGATTTAGAGAAGGCAGTAAATGGGATCAGGAAGTCTTTACAGATACCATGAGTGAGATGGTCTTACTAAAAGACCAGGGGCCAATAGGATTCAACAGCAGAGGTGGAGCTGGGAGACATTGCAGGTGGAAGGATAAGTGTGAACAAACATTTTGAGACAGAAAGGGACACTGAGTGTTCTTGAGGAGAGTAAATGATCAAGTTTGTCACAGTAGATACAATTAATGGAATTGTCTGATGGATGGGCAAAGTCAGTCTGAGTCTTGGTGTCAAGGGTGAGAAGTGTCGTAGGTGATGAGAAACCTGTACAGGTTTTACCTTTAGAAAAAATGCCTCTGACAACATGTTGTGGTTGTGTGCTGTCAAGTTGATTCTGACTCATAGCAACCCTGTACAGGGCTTCTGAGGAGTGGCTGATGGGTTTGGACCACCGACCTGTAGTTAGTAGTCCAGTGCTGATCCTACAGTGCCACCCTGAGTCCATAGGGAGGTGTTGTTGTTGTTAAAGGCTAGTTCCAACCCTGTACGGGGTTTCTAAGGCTGTAAATCTTTACGGGAGCAGAAAGCCTCATCTTTCTCCTGCGGAGCAGCTGGTAGTTTCGAACTGCTGACCTTAAGGTTTGCAGCCCGATTCATAACCACTATGCTACCAGAGCTCCTTATAGGGAGGGAAGGGGAGGGGAGGTCAGTTATATTAAGAGGTGCCACTAGTAGGAAAGGAGGTAGGCCATATAAGCCTTCCAGCTGGAATGGAAAGGACAAGCCAATTGTGTAGAAAGATTGTGGTAAGAGTTTAAAGTTGATTTCAGGTGCTGGCTTGGTTGGGATGGGAGTTGTCAACAGAACAATGATGTTTTCAGCAAGTAGGCTTAAGAAAATGTCCCTGGCATGTGATTGCCCATAATTTCAGATCAATCCATTTGACACTGCTGCTAGATAGTGCAGAATTTATCTTTCCCCCCTCTAAAGACATTAGTATTATTGTTGTTGTTAAGTACCATCGAGTTGGTTCCAACACATAGTGACCCTGTATAGGATTCCTGAGGAGCATCTGGTGGGTTTAAACCTCTGACTTTGAGGTTCAAACTCACCTTGTGATTAGTTTGCAGTGCCACACCAGGACGCCATGACAGGAGCAGACAACCTCTGTTTTCTTCTTTGGAGTGGCTGGTGGGTTTGAGTCACCAACTCCATGTGGCTGGCAGCCTGGTACTAACCCACAGTACCACCAGGGCTCCTTATTTATATAAGAAACAAAAAAAGTAAAGAAGAGTGGTTTATTCCTACCCTCTTGAGCCTTCCTTTGGTGGCATGCTGTATTCCATAGGATAAACTGGGCTGACGCTGTGCTAGCTTAGTGTTGATGTTAAGTGCCCAAATATGGAGAATTGAAAAAGGAGCAGAGACAATCAAGGAAAAGCATTTGTTCATTTGGAGAACTCAGTTTCTAAGGAAATGTCATAATGCAGGGGAAGGTTCAAATGAGCCTTAGTTTTCCTCCCTGCCCTACCAACCACGTGTTAGTCCCCAGAATGACCCCCGGGATTAGGGGTGGGGGTGGGGTCCTCTGCCAATGTCTAGTAAATTTTCAAACAGGCATTTAAATATAAACAGAGTGGTGGTGGTGGTGTAGTATAGGGTTACAGAGGCTATACATTTTTTGTGGGAGCAGAAAACCTCATCTTTCTCTTGCAGAGCAGCTGGTGGGCTCGATCTCAGTCCTGTGCTTAACCAGTGGAGCTAACATAAGTTTATTTCTCATTCTTGGTACTTACCCACCGTGGGTCAATGAAAGACCTTCCTCCATAGCTACCCAAGGATACAGACTAGGGGAGACTCTACTTATAGTATCATCTGGAATAGAGACTTGTCCTTGGGCTTTTTGGTGTGGCGCTGTGGGCTAATGCGTCAGACTGCAAAGTCATTTTGAACTGCAATGTTGGTGGTTCAAGTTCACCAGCTGCTCCTTGGAAACCCTACACATGGTCACTTTGGGTCGAAAGCAACTTGACAGCACTTAACAACAACAACCCCAAAGCAGAATGGACTGCTTCTGCTCACAATTCACTGACTGGAATCAGTCGCATGGCCCAGATAACTGCAAGGGAGCTGAGTAGTCTATTCTGTGTGCTCCAGAGGAGTGGTTCTGGGTCATTGGGTATTGGTGGGGTTGTGGTCATCTATACATGTGTGCTCTTTCTCTGAGTTGCTTAGGTGAGCCTCCTTCTGCTGGCTTGTCATGCAGTAAACTCACAAACCGCAGGCAAATTTTACCAGGCAAATTACTGGTGTTAAGTTATTTGTGCTAAGTTACTTGTGTTAAGTCTTTAAAATTTAAAAATTTTTAAATTTAAATTAACCTTTTAAAATTTACATTAGCAGGTGTGTGAGCCTCCCTGTGTTTACTTAGCTAAGTTCAGTTTGTTGCTGGTGTTTTAATAATCACAACAACACCTGACCTGTTTCGTAAAACACAGGGGGAGTATTATACCCCTGGGTCTGGTCCAAGCTCTCTGAGATCTCACTCCCGTTTCATGGTAATGACTATGAATATCCAAAATGTGGCTCAGCGTGGCACAGCCTGTTCTCCCTGCATGGGAAAGTGGTCCTTCTATGCGTCTTTACTTCACAGAGAATCACGCTCTTGGTGCCAATATGTCAGCTTCACCCCAGGCCCAATCTCCTGAGAAAGGTCTGATGTTGTCCTCACATCGGCAATGTTGTGCCCTAGAGTTCTGCCAATAATGTTGCTTCTCCAAAAGTCCTTCCTCTCAAAGGTTTCAGGAGCCTGGTCCGGGAGATTGGATTCCTGGCAGGACTCTGGAGAGCAACACACATCAAAGCTAAGCAATCTGCCGTCAACTTTGAGAGGGTACATCCATTTGTTTCCTGCTCGGGTCAAAACAGCCTCAGCAACAGATCTGGTTGTTCTGCAACATGTACGCGACCCTCATTTACAAGGACAATTACACTGAAACTATTTTTAACTGAATTAAAGCCCTGATCTCATCTTGTCTATTGTCATTATCACAGCAAGTAGAATTTTAGAGGAATATGGTGTTAGTCTGTATTTTCTGTTTTCACCACTGTCTTAGCATAAAAGCTTGCTTACTGCTTCTGTATATGGTTGTTACTGTTGTTCAGAGGCTGTGTTTTATGCAGTTTACATGGATGTGTTGGTGTTTCACAGATGATATTTTAACCTTAGTGTGACTTCTAATCATCATGGACTTTCAAGGCATCATTCACTAATACATCTTTGATTGTTGTTGTTGTTAAGTGCTATCAAGTTGATTCCAACCCATAGCAACCCTGTGTAGGATTTCTGAGGAGTGACTGGTGAGCTTGAATTGCCAACCTTGCGGTTCAAATCGACTTTGCAGTCCAGCGCATTAACCCACAGCGCCATCTGAATCTGGAGCATTAGAAATAGACACCTAATTACAGATTCATTTCTTACACATATAGGTCCCATGCACCATTTTTAACCCTTTCTATAAGTTTATATTATAATAAACATATAGAGTACAATTACAGATGTGTGGGGAAGACTTACAAATACTTGGACTAATACAATGTTTTATTTATTTTCTAGAGTTCATGGGCTGAGAAAGAGAGCACATTAAAAAGATCAGAGAAGGTAATAAGATTTTCCACACTGAAGTTAATAGCCTTTGCAAAGCTAAGTGTTTGCCTGCACATTATAACAATGCCTCATTTTTGGCTAAATCTGCCATAGTCAACATCCCCCTTAACCAGTAAAGTCTGTCACAGTGCTTACAAAGGCACATTCCCAAAAGGGTAGGGGTGATTGTTTCTTAATGTGGAAACTAGGCCTACAAAAAGAAACATGTTCTCAAAACAGTCATTTCAGATCACTGAGTTTTCTTTGAAGGGATGTTTTTAAACCATATTCAAATTTCACTTAAAAAAAAAAAAAAAATCCTATCGCTTACAGAGTCTATATCAGGTAAGGAGAAGGAAATGAAGAAGTTGGCCAGAGCTGTATCAGATACTGACAAAGTGCATGGCTTATGTTTACATTGCCAGAGACGCACGGTTAATTACCACATAGAACATGGCATTAATCAGTGGTGAGTGGTTTCACCTCTGCAAGTCAGCGTTCCACAAACTTTCTCTGAAAAGGGCCAGATAGTAAGTATCCTGCACTTTGTGGGCCATGGGATCTTTGTCACAAGTACCCTACTCTGCCCCTGGAACACAAAAGCAGCCACGGATCTTAGTGAACAATAGAGTATGGCTGTGTACCTGTGAAACTTTATTTCATAGGAAAACAGACTATAGGTCAGATGTGGCCTGCGGACCATAGTATGTCAACCTACAAAACACTTGGGAGAACAAATGAACAAAAGGCCCTACTTTAAAAAAAAATTATAGATATCATGTCCTTAGTTGAGTTTCCGTTTGACTGGTACGTCTGCACTTGGCAGCTGAAATTGTCAGGTTGACTGCTTTTCTAGTACAGCAGTGGGTGGGGTGCTCTGCCTGTAGAAATCACCCCCACACTCAGTGTGGCTGGGGCAGTGATACCTGGATGCAGACTCTGCTGCATATCCTTGTCTCCTCATCAGTCGCCTGCACCCTGGAATCGCCACCTCAGCCTGTCAGTGTCAGAGGTTGCGTGGGCTGTTGACTCCGCAGTAGTCTCGTTATCCGTGGAAGCTCTGACAGGCTCAGGGCCAACTGACTGCCTCCCCAGCAACACTCCTGAAGACAAGCCAACAAATGCTTACTCCGCACGTCTCTCTTCTTTGCATTTTTGCACAACACTTGCTCTGTAATTGTGTATTTATCTGAGCTCATACCCTTTGTGACCAGTTAGACTAAATAGCCTGATGCCCTTGATGGAATGTGAGGTACCCGCCATGGAGCCTGCTGTCCATCTCTTGTGTCCATTTCAGAGGGTGTCTCCTGGCTGACTCATTGGTTCTAAGCTGATGGCTGAACCATCGGCACCCTCCATCCTGTCCCTTACGTGGCTTCTTCAGTTAACAGAGTTCATAGAATTTAACGCTTGAAAAATAACTCTGAGTTATTTGTGATGGTGCTGTTTTCCAGAGAGACAAAGAGTTCCTGAAGGCCACATTTATCCTGGTTTACCATGACTGTGTGTACCCACTGGTTCATTCCACACTCCTGCCCCCATTCAGATGGGCGGAAGAAGAGACGGAGGCTACTCGATGGAAAGTTATTGCTGACTTCCTTAAGCAAAACCAAGAAAAGGAGGGTGCGCTCCAGGCTCTGCTGTCACCAGAAGGAGTTCACGAACCCTTTGACCTTTCCGAGCAGACCTATGACTTCTTAGGTGAAGTAAGAAAGAACGCAACGTGACAGTGGCCAGCGGCAGCTCTCAGGGCCACCCAGAGTCTGTCGGAGCCCCCATCCTGCGTCAGCCAAGATGACAGAAGCTAAGTGGCTGTCACAGTATAACTTGTTTGTGCAGACCCATTCTGCAATAAATAGTTATCCAATAATTGGAAATGTTTAAAACAATACAATACTTATTTAAGGAATACTGTCAGATCTAAATTGAAAGAGAATATTTTTCAAAAGTCATCTACATTGATTATATCAATAGATTTATATAAAAGCAAGATTATATCATAAGCTAAATTTATGATTATTCAAAAATGTGAAGAGATAACCCACAGAGTGTGAGGAAATATTTGTAAATCATATATCTGATAAGGGTGTGGTGGTGGTGGTTATGTGCTGTGGAGTCAGTTCCGACTCATAGCAACCTTGTATAGGGTTTCCGAGGCTGTAAATCTTTATGGGAGCAGAAAGCCTCATCTTTCTCCCATGGAATAGCTGGTAGTTTCGAACTGCTGACCTTGCGGTTCGCAGCCCTATTCGTAACCACTACGCTACCAGAGGTCCTTGATAAGGGTGTAGTATCCCTAACATCAAAATTTATGATTATTGCTAATAAAATTTATGCTCTGAAATGAAGGGAAAATCAGAGTAACCTCTGTAAGAAAGTTATATTAGTACTTAATTACATTTAATATTTAAATGTCATTTGTCCTAATGAGAGACAGAAGCCGAATCGTTTCAATTCCGTGGCATGAGTACTCTTTCAAAAACTAGCCTTTCAGGCATTGAAGAATGAGATTGACACTTCTTTCAAAGGACAAAAATGAGCTCGTCAAGTTCTGCTGCATTCCAAATAAACGTGTGACTGCTGGTAAATTGTCCCAAATCTTTACTGTTAATGAGAATGTTGTTGTTAAGTGCCGTCAAGTTGGTTCTGACACATAGAGACCCTGAACAGGGTTTCCGAGGCTGTAAATCTTTACAGGAGCAGAAAGCCTCATCTTTCTCCCGCGGAGCAGCCGGTAGTTTCGAACCGATAACCTTGCAGCCCGATTCGTAACCACTACACTACCAGAGCCACCTGTTAATGAGACTAGTTGTTGCTAATTGCCACTGAGTCTGTTACAACCCACAACTACTCTGTATAGGTTTTCCGAGGAGCGTCTGGTGGGTTTGAACCACCAACCTTGTGGTTCAAAGTAACCTTACAGTCTGAGAATAATAGCAGCTGGCACTTATTGAGCACCTATCAGCAAGGTCAGCGGTTCAAACCCACCAGCTGTTCCTTGGAAATCCTCTACAGTGTGGCTATGAGTCATAGCCTACACAACGTACTAACAACAGCAACATCAGTGAGTCAGGCAATGTTCTTAGTTAACCCCGCTAATCCTCACAGCAACCGTAAACACTACGTACTTGTTTGTCCTCTCTTGGAAGAGCTGATGAAACAAGTGAAACAGGATTAAGTTAAGTTGCCTAAAGTCAGAGCTAGTAAGTGGCACAGTAAATACACTAATAGATACCATGTAGCCGTTTTTACAGCCTAAGAATGCCCCCTCATTAGTGCAAACGCTGAAAGATCTCATGAGACAATAAACTATGAGAAGGTCATTTGAATGAGACGGAATTATAAAAAGTGTTTAACTAGGATAATTTGAGTAGCATTTGAGGTACTATTTTGAGGGCATGCTGCCTTAAAAGAGGCATTTTACTTTTAGTGATGGTGGTAGTATGTCTGAAGTCAGTTCCGATTCACAGTGTCCCTGAATAGAGTTTTCAAGGCTGTAAATCGTTACAGGAGCAGAAAGCCTCATCTTTTTCACTCAGGGAGGCTGGTAGATTCCAACTGGTGACTTGTGGTTTGCAGCCCTAACGTGTGACTACTATGCTACCTGGGCCCTTTTTTGTTTGCAGAGATTCCCCTGCGCTACGTCGCATAGTGGATTATGAGCTGGACTGCTAACCAAAAGTTCAGCGCTTCAAACCTACCAGTCGCTTTGCTGGAAAGCAATGAAGCTCTCTGCTACTGTAAGGATTTACAGCCTCAGAAACCCTATACAGGGTCTCTATGAATCGGAACTGACTCGACGGCACACAACAACCTCTCAGTTAATTAACACCAAACCCTGAGCCTAACCTTCACTTCGGCTTCAGTCTCAGAAATTAACATCGTCCATGAGTCACCAGCCACAAATGTGGTGAAGCAGCTGGGACGGCCCAAAGTGCTGAATATAGGTCTCGTCTTTGCTAAGTACATTCCCCACCAAACTCCACTGTCCCACAGGGGAGACCAGCTAGGTTCAGATAAATCTTCAGATGAATCTGTCATGGAGAAGGCTTTTTTTTCCTGTAAAACCTTGAATCCCTAAGTGGAAAATTCCACATTTTTCTTTTTTTAACCATTTGACTTATTCTTGGCACCAAGTCACGGGTGGAGTATCTTGAACGAAAGAAAATACTGCTGTAAGTTCCTTTCAATGACTGTAGAGCATGAAGGAAGAGAGATAGCTTTCTTTTAGAATGTGTTCCCAAAGAATGGTCTTCCGCGTTCATTCAAGAATGTGTCGTGAGATGACAAATAGGGATAACTGCACAGTTTCTGACACAAGAGGCAAAACTGTTCCAGTGACGCTTAGGCACAAAGTCAGTTAGTCTGAGCACATGAGACACATCCGCAGGGGTGGGGTTCTCACTGCCACTGAAAGGCTCCAGTGTCTCCTCGGGTGGCGAAATTTTTTTTTTTTTTTTTTTTTAACAATGAAACCTCTGACTTTTCAAATAATCACTCTTTAGCTTCCAAAACAGGAAGAGGTTGTCAAGGAGCCAAAAACATCCTGGAAATGAATCCTTGGGGGTCTGTATCCAAGAGTATAACTTAACAACACATTGAATTAATTGCAGGAGCCACGGAGGGCAGGGGGCACAGGAAACAGCAGTTGGGCTACCCACAGACCTTTGCCGTGTGACCCACAGCATGCCCACCCATCAGAACCGGCAGGGTGGTAGACTCTAAACAGTAAACTACTACTCCCCAATCTCCCAACTTCTCATAATTGATTGAGTGCTATATCTCTCATGTCTGCTCATAGTGAAAACTGTGTCAGTTCCCATGCCTGTTTAGGCTGTGTTGTTAGGGCATGAAGCATACACTAAAGAGAAGCTACAATCTCAGTTTTTAACATGCGAGGTCAGACTAACCCACATGGACCCAGTTGAAATAACACCAGATCAGAATGGAGTAGGTTTGACTTGCCAACCAGGTAGCAGCTGTGAAACTCATCAGTTGAACGAGGAAGGCGCTCAATGTGTTATCTTCGAGCTGAGGGCTTCATCAGTTCACAGCATTGTAGGATATCCTTTGCTGTGTGGACTGATTCAACTTCCTCTCCTGAGCTTAGAGGTGATCCGAGCTAGCTGTCACTTGGATGCTTTGTGTTCTGTTTCCTCAAAACAAAGCAAGACAGAACCCTACTTCTTTAAGTAACTGTGCATCTTAGGTTTATAATGGCCCACTTATTCAGCATGGATTTACTAGGCCCCTGTTACACTCCAGGCACAGTGGGAGAAGCCCTGTTAGATCCCTGCTCTGACTGAATGTATGCGGTGGACAGTAACCACACAAAAATACCTTTAAGGAATGTTATCGAGAGCTACAAGGACCTGTCATTGTGTCTTTTTGTTGTTGTTACATTTATATTTTTTTATTTCAACCATACTCTAGCCTGGGCCTGGAATGTTTACCAGTACTGTGGCAGGTATATCGTCAGAAAGTGCTCAGTGTGCCTCAGTCCCTTCTTAGCTATCTACACTCTTCCTCTCCAATCTCCACTGCCCAATGTTGGAGACCAGCCAAGTGCAGAGAACGTTGCAGATGAATCTCCTATCAACTCATTGTCTGAGACTCAGGACTCAGGGATTTGGTAATGTGATACCCTCCATATCCAGACTTGCAATAACCAAATTGATTTGGATTGGAAGGGATGGAGGTAGAGAGATGAGTGAATGAAGAGTAAAGAGCTGAGCTATGTTGTAGGTAGGAACATGGAGGCCTAGGGTCCTATGACCCAGTAATGACTGACACCAGGTGAGGAATTATGTGGGCAGCAACATAAAAATGGAAATCATTAATGAAATGAAGCTCACATTTGGGACTTTGGTAGTATGTTGATTGTATAGTCCATTTCTCACACTCTATAAGATAGTTTGAACTTTCACCTTCTCATGTGTGTTTGACTTTTCTAGCAAAGATTAACTTTGCAGAACTTTGTCCTTTCAAAGGGATCACTTTGGGAGTTAATGACAGACTCCAGATTTTCTGATCTCTTCTCCAGTTGGGTATCTCTGATGACCCACACATTACCCCATTAGAGTCTTTCCTCTTTTCTGGTGCTGTGTTGTGCCTGCCCAGACTCCACAGGCACCAGGAAGCACACTTAGGTCTGCTCGGTGCCTGGGAATTCACCAACGAACACCTCCTTCCTCAAGTGGTCTATTGGTATTTGCATCCTAGCTACCCCATTGGAGAGTCCAAGTGGCGTTATTGGTAGAAGTAATAGTTGTAATCTAGTTGTGTCTGAATCAGCAGGCCTGAGTCCAATGGGGCATATGTGTCATTGCAGTGTAAAAGAGGGTGGGACCTGTACTCTTTTTTTTTTTTTTTTCCGCAGTGGGAAACCATCATAGTGGATATCGGGGCTCCTGCTGCCCCCAATTTATAGACTTCTTTCCTGGAAGCCACACCTTACTGTCACCCTACCCTCACCCTTTGATTCCAGCTCCAGAAGGGGACTCTCATTGCCTTAAACAGATGAGCATATCTCATTCCCTGGCCATAGTGACTGGATTGGAAATGGTCCAATGAGAGAGAAAATCCCAGATTTACTCATCAGAGCTTCTCCTTTCCTGAACAATGTAGTAGGAGACAGGAAATCTGGCGCTGCAACATGAGACAGTGATTCTACCACAATGAGTGGAGAGTCTAGAGCTTGGGTGCTTGGAGAGTAGCATTAAGTGAA